TGACTGAACGAATGAGCAACAACAAAGGTTGGCAGAAGCTGGGGCTAACAGCGGGAGCTCACCCTGCTCCCCGGATTCGAACTGCCAACCTTTCGGTCAGCAAGTTCAGCAGCTCAGTGGTTTAATATGGACAAGGCTAATACTGAGGTTAATACTGAAGCCTCCCACAAGTATGATAAAACATCAGACATCCAGGCGTTTCCTGGGCAACATCCTTGCAAAAGGCCAATTCTCTCACATCACAAGCAACTTGCAGTTTCTCAAGCTGCTCCTGACATGACCAAAAAAACCCCCTGTCTACAGGTACACCTGTTTATATCACCAGCCTACCAGTTTTGCTTAGTCATTGCAGTTTAACCCTTTCAGTGCTTGACTAATATTTTTTAAATTAAGAATACATTGTTAATTTTCAATATTTCTGACAAATCTAGCATTATCTTTTAAATTTTCTGCATCCACATGGCCTACCTAAAGTTTGATTATTTCCCCAAAAAATCAAAACGGATAAGTCAGCATTGGGTTGTTTTTGTGGGTGAGTTGTCAGCAGGACATCCATCTGTGAGTCACCATCATAGTCACCAGGAACAACACTCGTTATCACAACATTTCTAAAATAAAAGAAAAAGCATCACAGTTATAGTGCTACAGCCTGACACTACAAAGAAGACAAAAACACTCTTTTTTATAACATCGTTTTATTTCTTCAATTTCTTTCGCTTAACTTGAAGTTATTTTCTTAAGCACAAGTTCTATTGATTTAAATGGGTCTATTGGGGGTAGGATTATTCTTGGATTTAGTATTATTTCTTAAACTAGCTGTCCCCTGCCACGCATTGCTGTGGCCCAGTCTGTGTATATGTGTTTTGTGTGTGTATATATGTGTGTATATGTATGTTTGCGTATATTTATTTATTTATAGTATTTGTATACAGCTTTTCTCACCCCGAGGGGGACTCAAATAAGTAATGGCAAAAATTCAATTCCAATTATACACTACAATTAGACATAAATTAAATTAAAAAATACATCCATGAGCAATAAAACAATCATTAAAACAAATCATTATTTATTTACTATACAGCCCAGAGGCGACTCGAGGTGGTTTACATTTGGCAATCAGTGCCCCACAAGATAAAATTCAGTCAAAAACAATTACATATAGTATAAACCATATAAAAACAATAACAATAAACAATTAAAATAATAAAATACAGTTCTCAGCGTCTCATCATATATGTAGTTTTGCTCATGCATTGTACATATTTTTTTGTTTTTGGCTTTTAAAGTCTTTTCTGCTGTGTTTTTCAGTGTTTTTATGAGTGATGGTCCCTCGTTGACCTGATAGGTGTCTTGTGTCCAAATTTGGTGTCAATTCATCCAGTGGTTTTTGAGTTATGTTATTCCCACAAATGAACATTACATTTTTATTTATATAGATTGATGCTGTTTTCAGCTTTTGTCTTTGTGTTATTTTGTTTAGTAGTCTTGATTTTCTTCTAAAAGTAAAATAGTCAAAGTAAAACAGTAATACAAATAATACAATAAAGAAAAAGTAAAATACATTTGGCAACCTGACAGACAGAATGGCATGCTTCTGAAGTCGACCCCGAAGTGACAGCAGAGTTTTAACACATTACTAAAAGATACTTACCTTAATAATAACTTGACTTTGGGTTTAAAATAAGGTTCTTTTTGATCTGCCAGGAAAATATTTAATTCACTGTCTGAAAAAAGTACAAAAATAGATGGTTTCAGTTTAACAAGAAAACATAAAACGTTGCCAGGCAATTTGGTTTCAGACACTTATGTTTTGCAAGATGAAGCTATCTAGGAATTTGGTCTTGGAATCAGTTATTAATGTTTGCTATTATAAACATATGTTTGTTGTTGCTTTTTGTGTTATTTTGGGTGATTAAAATATTTTTTCCTTTGTTTATAGACTTTTATTTTTTGCCTGACAAATAAATTGGGATCTAGGCCTTTTAAAATGAACATAGAACAGCTATTAGCACTAGTGTTCTGGTAGGTAACTCTTTTGCACAAATCTACTTCCTTGTTTTGATGTTTCGATTAGTGACAATATTTACATTTAAAATAAGCACAATAAGTGTACATGAATAAGTGTACATTCATGATATAAACAAAACAAGAGTTTCATAGTATCCTGAAGACTCCAAACACATTATTGTATAATCTTTCAAAGGCAACAAATATTTTCAAGAGCAACAAATGATCTTGTTCTGAGGTTTCAGTTAGTGGCACTGTTACACTTAAAACAAGCACAAGATATGTGTACATGATATAAACAGAGTGAGAATTTCATAGTACCCTGAAGACTACCAACACCTCTATTGCTGTATACTCTTTTGAAGGCAAAAAACAGTTTGTCGTCAGTTACATGGAGTTTTATTTTGTATTATATGTATCCATCCACACAGATAAAAAACAGAGCTGTGAGGGACTGTATGTAGTGATATCAGAGCAAATCAATGACATATTCCTCTATCCCTTATGTAGCCTTTAACTTGTGATGGTGTTTGCAGACTGCAAACAAAAGGTGATGATGGATGTGTCATAAGACTGTCAATTCAGCCAGAGGTGACTGCCACACACAACATGGAGTTGAAGTAATAAAAAAAAAACCAAACACCTGGAATGCCAAAGTTTGCCCATGCCTATATTATCCAATATTGTGAACCTGAAGCCATATCTTATACAATATTGTGAACTTGCAGATTTATATAATACAATACTGTGAACCTGAAGATATATTTTATACAGTACTGTGGACCTGAAGATACATTTTATACTATATTGTGAACCCGAAGGTATATCTTATACAGTACTGTGAACCTGAAGGTATATTTTGTACAATACTGTGAACTTGAAGGTTTATCTCATACAGTACCGTGGACCTGAAGGCATATCTTATACAATATTGCGAACCTGAAGGCGTATCTTATACAATACTGTGAACCTAAAGGTATATTTTAAACCAGGGGTCCACAAACTTTTTAAACAGAGGGCCAGGTCACAGTCCCTCAAACTGTTGGAGGGCTGGATGATAATTTGAAAAACAACATGAATTCCTATGCACGCTGCACATATCTTATTTTTTTTTGTGTAAAAACACTTTAAAACAATACAATAATTAAAATGAGGAACAATGTTAACAAATATAAACTTATTAGTATTTCAATGGGAAATGTGGACCTGCTTTTGACTGATGAGATAGGATTGTTGTTGTTGTGTGCTTTCAAGTCATTTCAGACTTAGGTTGATCCTGAGCGAGGGCCGGGTAAATGACCTTGGAGGGCCGCATCCGGCCCCCGGGCCTTAGTTTGAGGACCCCTGTTTTATAAAATACTGTGAACCTGAAGGTCTATCTAATACAATACTGTAAACCTGAAGGTATATCTTATACAATACTGTGAACTTGCAGGTTTATCTAATACAATACTGTGAACCTGAAGGCATATCTTATACAATATTGCGAACCTGAAGGCGTATCTTATACAGTGCTGTGGACCTGAAGGTATATTTTATACAATACTGTGAACTTGAAGGTTTATCTTATACAATGCTGTGTACCTGAAGATATATTTCATACAATATTGTGAACTTGAAGGTATATCTTATACAATGCTGTGAACTTGATGGTATATCTTATACAATGCTGTGAACCTGAAGGTCTATCTTATACAATATTGCGAACATGAAGGCGTATCTAATACAATACTGTGAACCTGAAGGCATATCTTATACTATACTGTGAACTTGAAGGTTTATCTTATACAATATTGTGAACCTGAAGGCGTATCTTATACAATGCTGTGGACCTGAAGGTGCATTTTATACAATATTGTGAACCTGAAGGTATATTTTATACAATATTGTGAACCTGAAGGCGTATCTTATACAGTACTGTGGAACTGAAGGTGTATTTTATACAATACTGTGGACCCGAAGGTATATTTTATACAATATTGTGAACCTGAAGGTATATCTTATACAGTACTGTGTACCTGAAGGTATATTTTATACAATATTGCGAACATGAAGGCGTATCTAATACAATACTGTGAACCTGAAGGCATATCTTATACTATACTGTGAACTTGAAGGTCTATCTAATACAATACTGTAAACCTGAAGGTATATCTTATACAGTACTTTGGACTTGAAGGTATATTTCATACAATATTGCGAACCTGAAGGTGTATTTTATACAATATTATGAACCTTGAGGTATATCTTATACAATACTGTGAACTTACAGATTTATCTAATACAATACTGTGGACCTGCAGGGTTATTTTATACAATAGTGTGAACCTGAAGGTATGGGCAAACTTGGGCCCTCCAGTTGTTTTGGACTTCAACTCCCACAATTCCTGACAGCCTGCCGACTACTAGGAATTATGGGAGCTGGAGTCCAAAACACCTGGAGGGCCCATTTTGCCTATGCCTGTATTACACAAAGATACCTATTCTCCATGGCAATGGATGGCCCGCCAGGAAGCGAAGGGGCCTCTCCCTGGGCCCTTGGGGCGCCTTGGGGGACGAAGGGAGGCCCCGTCCCCTTCCTCACCTGCCCTGAGCACGAAGAGGTCTGTCTGCTTGTCGGAGTTGAAGTCCCCGAAGGCGGCCAGCCTGCCCGAGGCCTGGCTCCCGAAGAGCTGCGGGGTGACGTTCTGGAGGGCCCCGCCGGGCCTCAGGTGCGCCAGGACGAAGAGGAGGAGGAGAACCATGGCGAGGCGTCGGCGTGGTCGGCAAGCCCGGGCCTCCCTCCGCTTAACAGCATCCCTCGGCGAAAGGGACGCGGAAGGACTCCCCTCAGCCTCAGCCGGTCACAATCCCGCCGACTTCCGGGTTTGGGGTGGTGCTTTTCTTTCTTTTTGCGACAGTGTCGCCCTTCCGCGCGTGCGCAGACGCCTCCTCCACAGCCGTTCGAGAGGCGCTTTACGGCCCTGCCGGACGACGGGGCAAAGGAAAGTTTTGAGGAGCTCTCCCCCTCCGCCATGGCGTCTTCTTTGGCCGATGTGAGCTGGAAAATGCTGGAGCTGAGGGCCCGCAGCAAGCGCTCAGGTCTGGCCAGACTCCTCCCGTGTCCTTTCCTCCTCCCTTCCTTCCTTCCTTCTCTCCCATCCCCAATTCCTCCCTGCCTGGGTTAGGCCCAAAACCCACTTTGGCCTGCAGCCACACTAGAGTTTAATGCAGTTTGGTCCCGCTTTGCTATAGAATCCTGGGGTTTTGTTGTCTACTGAGATATTGGCCTTCTTAAGCAGATATTAAAAAGCCTGGGACCTATAGGTAAATAGTAATAATAATAATAATTAATAATTAATAATAATAATTGTTGTTGTTCATTCGTTCAGTCGTGTCCGACTCTTCGTGACCTCATGGACCAGCCCACGCCAGAGCTCCCTGTCAGCCGTCACCACCCCCAGCTCCTTTAAGGTCAGTCCAGTCACTTCAAGGATGCCATCCATCCATCTTGCCCTTGGTCGGCCCCTCTTCCTTTTGCCTTCCACTTTCCCCAGCATAATTGTCTTCTCTAGGCTTTGCTGTCTCCTAATGATGTGGCCAAAGTACTTCAACTTTGTCTCTAGTATCCTGAGAGCTGGATTAGGGAAGGCTGAGCGAAGGAAGATCGATGTTTTGAACTGTGGTGTTGGAGGAAAGTGCTAAGAGTGCCTTGGACTGCGAGAAGATCCAACCAGTCCATCCTCCAGGAAATAAAGCCCGACTGCTCATTGGAGGGAAGGAGACTAGAGACAAAGTTGAAGTACTTTGGCCACATCATGAGGAGACAGCAAAGCCTAGAGAAGGGAATGATGCTGTGGAAAGTGGAAGGCAAAAGGAAGAGGGGCCGACCAAGGGCAAGATGGATGGATGGCATCCTTGAAGTGACTGGACTGACCTTGAAGGAGCTGGGGGTTGCCACGACCAACAGGGAGCTCAGGCATGGGCTGGTTCATGAGGTCACGAAGAGTGGGAAATGACTGAACGAATAAACAACAACAACATGTTCAGATGCATAAAGGCTTCAGCCCCCGGTGGCGCAGTAGGTTAAACCCCTGTGCTGGCAGGACTGAAGACTGACAGGTCGCAGGTTCGAATCTGGGGAGAGCGGATGAGCTCCCTCTATCAGCTCCAGCTCCTCATGCGGGGACATGAGAGAAGCCTCCCACAAGGATGACAAAAAACATCAAATCATCCGGGCGTCCCTTGGGCAATGTCCTTGCAGACGGCCAATTCTCTCACATCAGAAGCGACTTGCAATTTCTCAAGTCTCTCCTGACACTACAAAAAAAATGATTGTATCCTCATACCAAAAAAGGGAAATGTTAAAGACTGCTCAAACTTCCGTACAGTGGCCCTTATTTCTCATGCCAGTAAGGTAATGCTCAAGATCCTGCAAGGAAGACTCCAGCAATACATGGAGCGAGAGTTGCCAGATGTTCAAGCTGGGTTTAGAAAAGGCAGAGGAACGAGAGACCAGATTGCCAATATCCGCTGGATAATGGAGAAAGGCAGGGAGTTTCAGAAAAACATCTACTTCTGCTTCATTGACTACTCTAAAGCCTTTGACTGTGTGGATCATGATAAATGGTGGCAAGTTCTTCGTGGTCTGGGCATCCCAAGCCACCTTGTCTCTCTCCTGAGGAATCTGTACAAGGACCAAGGAGCAACAGTCAGAACTGACCACGGAACAACAGACTGGTTCAAGATTGGGAAAGGCGTACGGCAAGGCTACATACTCTCACCCAACCTATTCAACTTGTATGCAGAACACATCATGCGATGTGCAGGGCTTGATGAATGCAAAGCTGGGGTGAAAATTGCTGGAAGAAACATTAACAACCTCAGATATGCAGATGACACTACTTTGATGGCCGAAAGCAAGGAGGAGCTGAGGAGCCTTCTAACGAAAGAAGAAAGTGCAAAAGCTGGATTGCAGCCAAACATAAAAAAACCAAGATTATGTTAAGAGGAATGATTGACAACTGGGAAATAGGGGGAGAAAACGTGGAGGCAGTGACAGACTTTGTATTTCTAGGTGCAAAGATTACTGCAGATGCAGACTGTGGCCAGGAAATCAGGAGACGCTTACTTCTTGGGAGGAGAGCAATGACCAATCTCGATAAAATAGTGAAGAGTAGAGACATCACACTGGCAACAAAGATCCGCATAGTCAAAGCAATGGTATTCCCCGTAGTCACCTATGGATGCAAGAGCTGGACCATAGGGAAGGCTGAGCGAAGGAAGAGAGATGCTTTTGAACTGTGGTACTGGAGGAAAGTTCTGAGAGTGCCTTGGACTGCGAGAAGATCCAACCAGTTCATACTTCAGGAAATAAAGCCGACTGCTCATTGGAGGGAAGGATACTAGAGGACAAGATGAAGAACTTTGGCCACATCATTAGAAGAAAGGAAAGCTTAGAGAAGACAATGATGCTGGGGAAAATGGAAGGAAAAAGGAAGCGGGGCCTATCAAGGGCAAGATGGATGGATGGGATTCTTGAAGTGACTGGACTGACCTTGAAGGAGCTGGGGGTGGTGACAGCCGACAGGGAGCTCTGGCGTGGGCTGGTCCATGAGGTCAAGAAGAGTCGGAAACGACCGAACAACAACACACTAGAGTTTAGTGCAGTTTGGCTCCGCATTGCTATAGAATCTTGGGGTTTTGTTGTCTACTGAGGCATTGGCCTTCTTTAGCAGATATTAAAAAGCCTGGGACCTATATGTAAACATGGGGCTACATCCACCCAGCTGAATAAAATCCTACAGTTTTACTTTGAACTGAGATATATGGCAGTGTGAATTTAGATAACCCAGTTCAAAGGAGATATTGTGGGATTTTCTGCTGTGTGGAAGGGCCCTGGGTGTCTCAAAGAAAACAAACCAATTATTATTATTATTAGTAATAGTAATAATAGTAATAGTAATAATAATAATACCTGCAAAGATAGTGAAAAATGAACATGCAAAAATACTGTGGGACTTTCGAATCCAGACTGACAAAGTTTTGGAACACAGTTCACCAGACATCACGATTGTGGACAAGAAAAAAGTCTGGATTATTGATGTTTCCATACTGGGTGACAGTCGCATTGAGGAAAAACAACAGGAAAAACTCAGCCATTATCAGGACCTCGAAAACGAACTGCAAATGCTCTGGCATCAACCAGTCCAGGTGGTCCCAGTGGTCATCGGCACACTGGGTGCCGTGACAAAATATCTCAGCCGGCATTTGGAAACAAACATTGACAAAATCACGATCTGTCAACTGCAAAATGCCACCTGACTTGGATCTGCGCGCATCATGCAAAAACACATCACACAGTCCTAGACGCTTGGGAAGTGTTCAACTTGTAATTTTGTGATATGAAATCCAGCATATAGATCTCATTTGCTGTGACATACTTCATTTTTGTGTCAGTAAAATAATAATAGCATTTCTTACCCGCCTCTCCTTGTGGTTCAAAGTGGGTTACAAAATCATAGAGTTGGAAGAGACCTCGTGGGCAATCCAGTCTAACCCCTGTCAAGAAGCAGGAAAATCACATTCAAATCACCCTCGACAGATGGCCACCCAGCCTCTGCTTAAAAGCCTTCATGGATTCCATGGCCCTTTGAAGGCAAACATAATAAGATGGAGGTCCTCAATAAGACTTACTCCATATTCTTGTAATTTCTTATGCTGCTATAGCTGGAATAGAGTCCTTAGCAGAACAATATACTTCTGATGTCAGATATTGAGTATACATAGGGAATGGTGCCGAGGAAGCAAATCAGACCAGATGGGCCTTTAGTCTGACCCAGCAGGGCACTCCTATTCTTCCATTTGACTGTCTTCCCATTTTTATTGTTTCTTTCCCAAGCTGTTTCCCTCTATCCCCTCTCTATCTCCCAATTTGTATTTCCTGTCCCCCTCATAATTAGGGCATTCCTTGTGTTTGTCATGCTTTCACTTCTCAACTTTTCTTTTTTAAGTCCCAAGCTTCCTTGTTCCCCTTCCTTTCAATATATGTTCCCTCTTCCATTGCTGTTGCTTTTCCTGGCTGGTCAACAAACCTTCTCCTGCACTGGCTTGATCTATATTTGTCCTGCTTGATCCATTTGACAGTTTGCAAATCACTCAAAAAAGTGGCAGCTGACATTGAAGACGCAGACTGTGCTGCTGCTTGTTTACATTTCTTCTCGTGACCCTGATAAATAATAATGTAACTAATAAAAGTCTAAAGAAACAGTATCTGAGGCATGTATGTCACTTGTTTTGCCTGTTGCATGCGTTTGGCTACATCTTTTTTTCCTCTTGTGGAAGTTTTTTATATACTTTTTATAGAAACAAAAGCAAGTCTTGCTTTGGATTTGTATCTCCTTCCTTGCAAAGGGAACCAAAATTAAACATTCAATGCCCATATAAACAGTAGCAGTCCCTAGAGGTGACTTTGGGCCAGTTAATACAGGTATTTGATTTGATTTTTGAAAAGCAATATCTCCGGTGACGGATGGCTTTGCTGCACATTTGACTTAATGAGATAGTTAAATATCACATCACTTCCAAAATTAAGTCGTGTTGAGAACATTGTAAACTGAAATAGCCTACTGTATGTATCATTACATTAGACAAGCTAGTAAACATTAATGTGTTCTTAAATTGCCAATATAATACAGCCTTGAGCAATAATTAGGTTTTCTTTAAAGTCTAAGCCTTAGATAGGGTTGGCCAACTCTAAGGGACTGTATTGCCTCTTCTCAGCAGTCCTATTGAACCAAAAGTATTTTATCCTATGGCTCACATTCCAGCCTATTGGTGACACTAAGCTAAAATACTTGATTTTGATTCTTTGCAACATATTTCAGGACATGAGTTTCTCATTCATTCTCTGCAAATGTGTAAAAACGGGAGTAAGCAACAAAGAATAAGCTATTTTGTTTTCAGTTTAGAGAGGTTCCGAGACTTCCCAGAGCAAATTGCTTTAAGGAAGGATTTATACTTATAAGGAAGCACAGTATACATACTATACACGTATACATACTGTATATCATTGTACAGTATGTATACATACTGTATAATGATATACAATATGTATACATACTGTATATCATACTGTGGGGCTGTCTACCTGTTTGTGAATACGTATATTTTTTTATTACCAGACCTGACTATGTGTAGATTGATTAAAATTAGGTAATCATCCAGACCCCAAGCTTCTGAACCAACCGAATAAAAATATTCTAGACTGCCCTCTCTCCCCGAAGGGACTCAGGACAGTTTACAGACACAAAACAAAAAAACAAGCTTCAATGCCTAAAATCAATACAAACACATCAAAATAATACCAGATAGTGCACAGAAACATCAGTAAACTTTCAACAAAGAATTAAGCATTGAGATAAAAAATTTAAAAAATCCAATAAGACATAGTAAACTAAAACATGAGTAAAATATTGCAATATATACCTTAAAAGCAATTATGATACAACCTAGTGAAGTTCCATTTGAGACATTTCTAGTCTTTGTATCATATGCTTATGGAGCCCCTGGTGGGGCAGTGAGTTAAACCCTTGTCCTGCTGACTGACATTGGTTTGAATCCAGGGAGAGTGGGTTGAGCTCCCTCAGCTCCAGCTCCCCATGCGGGGACATGAGAGAAGCCTCCCACAAGTATGGTAAAACATCAAACATCCAGGCGTTCCCTGGGCAACATCCTTGCAGAAAGCCAATTCTCTCACACCAGAAGCAACTTGCAGTTTCTCTAGTTGCTCCTGACACGGGAAAAAAATCATATGCTTATCAGTACAATGTTTTGACATTTGTCTACATTAACTTTAACTAGGAATCTCCATGCTATCTAGAAATTTTGCTTTATATATACCGCCTTGAGTCGCCGGAAGGCTGAGAGGGGTGGTATACAAATGCAGTGAATAAATAAATAAATAAATATATTTGAAATATTTTCTAGGAGTTGTATCTTACATTGTAGTTAAAAATACAAAACTAGAAATAATAATGTAGGACTTGACATGTAAAGTGTTCCCCTCACCTGCCCCCCCCAAATTTAAATTCAATTATAGTTCTCAAATTATAAAAACTTCACATACATGTTGATCTTGATTTATTATGTTTTTCATCCTTTAAAATTTTTTGAAAACAGACAAGCATTGAGGAGACTTGAAGTGGAATATTTAAGTACATGTTTTGAAACTCTCTGGATTAAACAGATCGACACAAAATCTGAAAAACTCAACAGTTCATTTACAATAATAGTTGACAGGACAAATACCTTGTATTCAATTACTTTTTGTGCTTATTTGACTTGCTTTTTCAGTAAACATCAAGTCCTTGTGCAAACTTGGGCTTTCTTAGCAGAGACCTCTAGGTTTTGTTGTGTCTGTTTCTTTTACGATATGTCCTTTCTTTTGCCATGGCCATGTGAGATAGAAATTATAATAGTACCTTTAGTGTATCTAATATAATAATAATAATAATAATAATAATAATAATAATAATAATAATAGATAAATTATAAATAGCTGCCCATATTTAAATGTTTGGTGATTAGTAGAAAATGTTGCATATTTCTAATAATATTTGGATATATGGATCATGTTAAAAGTATATCTAAAAACTGCAATCATGTAAACAGTGGTTTTATTAGAGGCCATATAATTTTTCACCTTCATTCAAAATCATTCTAATTAATCACCTAGGTATCTGGGATAACTGGCAGTTTGATCATCCATCCCTCAGTCCATTGTGAAATGGTTTGAATGGGTTTCAAGTATAAAAGAGTTTACGTGAAATGGGCTTTTTGCGGACAGAGTACATTAGTCTTATCTCTCGGCCTGCCCTTTTCAAACCTTTCAACTAGGGCACTGTGAGAGGGTACTTCACACCTTGTGAATGGGTGCTTGTAGTCCTATGCTTCTGTTATGCATATTCTCTATGCATATAAAGCTTTAGTTCACATATCATTGTGACTTCGTACTTAGTGGAATAACAGAGACAGCATACTATTAGCAGAGTACTGTTAGCTGAATAACAGTGTAAGCTGAATTTTATAAAGAATCTAGACTAAACTGTAGATGAACTATAACTGAAATATTTTTCCCTATACACGAGGAACTGAGTACTCTGTGCTGTGATGGCAGCAGTAAACACTGGTTAGCTCATATCAACTCACAAACTAGGAAAATTCTATCTCGTTACCAATCTCTTCTCCGCTAATTCAGAAAACATAATATCATGAGTTGTATAGAATTTTTTTTATCTGCAAAAGGGTAATGAAATTTATTTATTTATTTATTTATTTGTGGCATTTTTATGCCGCCCTTCTCACCCCGAAGGAATTCCTGGCCATCTGTCAGGGGTACTTTGCTTGTGCTTTTCCTGCTTGGCAGGGGGTTGGACTAGATGGACCATGTGGTCTCTTCCTACCCATAATATAATATAATATAATATAATATAATATAATATAATATAATATAATATATTGTATATACAGTATATTCTGGCCTATAAGACTACTTTTTAACCCAAGAAAATCTTCTCAAAAGTCAGGGGTCGTCTTATACGCGGGTGTAGTCTTATGCATCGGCGTTGTCTTAACTCTATATTTTAACTGGAAAAGTTGGGGGTCGTCTTATACGCCCAGTCGTCTTATATGCCGGAATATACGGTACATATAATATTTATAACATTATAATGTAATGCAATATAATAATACTACTAATAATATATTATAATTATATATTTATATTACTAATAATATTACAATATAATGGTAGCACAATTTAGTAATATTTAATATTGATATTGTACTATGCTAATAACATAATATATTGTAAGTATATATATCTTGTATATATCTTGAGTCCCCTTCGGGGTGAGAAGGGCGGCATATAAATGTTGCACATAAATAAATAAATATTATTGTATGATTCCCATGATTACTACCCATTGAATCATACTATCCAAAATCATGTAGATAAATGTTTGAATTTTTCCATAATCAAGAAAAAATATCAATTTTGTGTATTATTAATGTCATTGTGTCCTGTTCACGTTCATTTGAATTGAACTGTTTATAACATGCATTCCCCCCAAAATGAAGTAATATCTGCTAAGTGTAACAACTTCGTTGCTCCTGGATATTAGGAATATGTGTGTTAGTCCAAAAGTTGAGATCTATATTGGAGTTAAAGAGATAGGATCGTAAGAAATATAAAAACCTACTATGCAAATATCTTAAAGAAAGAAGAAAAAAGTCTTCTCTTGATAGGTTCCTTAATGAAAAGTTTTAGAACGACATAAAACAGTATCACGTTGAAAAACATATGCAATTGTGAGCTATTTTGGTGTAGAGCAATTATATGTTTCATTAAGCAAAGAACAATGCATTTCATTTGGACCTGGAATTTATTTTATCAGACTAAAAGATTTCCCCCACCCTCCAGATTTGGTTTTAAATGTTCAGTATTATCTAGTATAATAAGAATTGTTAATGTCAAATAACATTCTTGTTACAGAACAGTAAGCAGGCATTATGTAAATGTAGATAATGGTACTTCAACCAGTGAGATTTATTGAAAAGTATAGTATAGGAAAATCAAGTTTTGCTCTATGGAGAGAAAACATAAAATATAATGAATCCAATTATCCTCTTTATTGTACACTGCATCATGTTAATAACTCTGCTAACACTACTTTTGCTTAATTTAAACCTGATTGCCTCTAACCCTCGCTAACATTTTCAACAATTGCTGTAGTTTAGCCTGAAACGTTTGTGATAAGGTGCAACAGCTTGAAATGGCCGGTTTGGATGCTGACAGAGCCGCCTCTGCTCGTGCTTACTCCTGGTTTGGTAAGTGTTGACTTCTCACAGGTCACTTGCTTTTGTTTTTAGGGCACGCGTGTGCCCGTGCACATGTGTGTGTCTGCATAATGCGTGTGCCCCTCTTTGAAATTTCAGTGGGTTGTCTATGTACACTTATATTCAAGTTATAGGTTGCAAGAAGTCTCTTAACGTTTGCTGTGTTATGTCAACGTCAAAGCAATGCCAGGCTTGCAATTTGAGTGATCTGGGAGCCATTGTCAGTGTTTGAAATCTTGTCATAATTTGCCAGCTTCAGACTTTACAAAATGCAATTACCATCATACCAATCACAATAATCAAGCTATCAGTGCTATGTTAACATCGACCAACCTCTCATATTGTGTGTCTTCCTATAGCTGGGTGCTTCAAGCTTTCCATTTCTTGGTAGGAACCACAGCTATTACTATGATCATCCCTGGTTGGACAGGCAAATGCTCCATATTTTGAATTGCTGTGAGTTTTCTGAGCTGTATGGCTATGTTCCAGGAGCATTCTCTCCTGACATTTCACCCACATCAATGGCAGGAATCTATGACAGGCATCCACTTGCCTAGTCTCCAACAAACCTCACAACCTCTGAGGATGCGGGTGAAACGTCAGGAGCGAATGCTTCTGGAACATGGCCATACAGTCTGGAAAACTCACAGCAACCCAGTGATTCCAGACATGAAAGCCTTCAACAACAAATTGTTTCATATTTTAACTGATTGCAGTTCAAAGAGATCTGTCAGCTCACTAATGCTCTTTCAAAAGAGATTAAATACTATTATTACAATTAAATGTATAGCCATCATCATTTGAAGCAGCACAAAGTGTGGGGTCACTGCAGAGGCTTTTGTTAGTTGAAATGCTGAAACTTCTGGAATATAAAGGCTATTGATTACAAAAATCCGAACACCAAATACACATTTTCACAGCTTTCTGAGCTTTTATAAAAGCTTTTGAGAAAAGAAGCACACCAAAACAATGTGTATTCTACAATTTGGCTGCTGCCTTATTTGTGGGCGTAATTCACTAATGCACATTTTCAGTAATTTGTGACATTTTGGAAGCCTGTATAGTCAGCAGACACTACAACTTGGTGCTTTATGTGCTGGTTCAGACTAATATATTCAGTCCTGCATTGTGTTTCCAACTGTTGCTGTCTGAGAGTTTCTGCGAAAAGGGCATACATGATTTCTATTGTAATCCTCCTCCGCACACCTGATATTCACTGGCATAGGGCCCTTGAACCTAGAGGTTCATTAGCTGTCAAGACTAATTGCTGTTGATGAATGCATTAGCTTTCAGGAATAATTGCTGTTGATAAACCAGCCCTTTATGAATGTGTCTCATTCTAATACTGTCTGCACTTGGAACTATAGCCTAATCTTGTACAGGTTGAGCATCTCTTATCTGAAATTCCAAAATCACCAAACACGAGTGGTTGAGATAGTGACACATTTGCTTTCTGATGGTTCAATATATATAAACACAAAATTATTATGTATTGTTTGTTTGTTTATTTATTTATCGTGTCAGGAGCAAACCGAACCAGTTGTATTGCATTAAAAAACAGACAAACAAACAAACAAAACACAAAATTTACAGACTTGGTATTCTATTAAATTTCCTTTGACCAGTAGCTGGCTATCTGGAGTGCCTCTGGTGTTGCTGCAAGAAGGTCCTCTGTTGTGCATGTATTGTATAAACTTAAGGATGTGTGTATAAGGTGTATGTCATCATAAATTTATTTATTACTACCTGTCCCCTGCGTTGCTGTGGCCCAGTCTGTTGATCTGAAAAATAAAATAATGAGAAAGTGTTGGTTTCTAATATATGTAATTTCTTTATGCTTGTGGATAAACAGTATTTCTTGCTGTTTCTTTGTCAGTGTTGATGTGGAGAGTGTCTGGTTTGCCCACCCTGGAAGATGCTAGATATCATTGTCCTTCTTTAACGGTCCCTTTCAAATCTATGATACTATATCTGTGTGTGAGTGAATCATATCTATCTATCTATCCATCTATATCTATGGCTGGATGGCTCTTTATCAGGTAGACTTTGATTACGTTTTCTTGCCCTGGTGAAGGGAGTTGGATTGGATGGCCTTCAGTATTTTCTGTTGGTCATGGGGCTTCTGTGTGGGAAGTTTGCCCCGATTCTGTCATTCATGGGATTCAGAATGCTCTTTGATTGTAGGTGAACTGTGAATCCCAGTGACTACAACTCCCAAATGTCAGGGTCTATTTTCCCCAAACGTCATCTGTGTTCATATTTGGGCATATTGAGTGCTTGTGCCAAGTTTGGTCCAGATCAATAATTGAGTCCACAGCGTTTTCTGGATGTAGGTGAACTATTATTTATTTATTTGGTTTACTTTTATCCCGCCCTTCTCACCCGAAGGGGACTCAGGGCGGCTTACACATCCAAGGCACAATTCGATGCCCGTAACATACCACAGCAATAAAACAAGTAACACAATTTAACAATCAACAGCAATACATTACATCTATACCCGTTAAAACCATTAAAACCAATACAAATTTCATACAAACCGATACAAACCAATTACTCCTTATTGCCGGTCAATGTTCGCTATCTCATAGTTCAGAGTTTCCTTCCACATTTATCCGTCCTGCCAATCCTGTTTGTCTGGTTGTCCTTACCTAGTTAGCAGATTGCCCGAAGGCCTGGTCCCACAACCACGTCTTTACCCTCCTCCTGAAAGACAGGAGTGATGTCGACGTCCTGATATCCACAGGGAGTGAGTTCCACAGGTGAGGGGCCACCACTGAGAAGGCCCTGCTCCTTGTCCCCACCAGCCTCACTTGGGAAAGCGGTGGGGTTGAGAGCTTTGATTGTAGATGAACTTTAAATTACAGCAACTACAACTCCCAAATGACAAAATCATAATTTTTGAGTGATGGTCACTCCTTGTGTTGTGAGACGTTTTGTTGCCAAATTTGGTGTGATTTCGTTCATTGGTTCTTTTTTTTAAGGTACTCATTATGCCCAGAGCATTTATATATATATAGATTTATCGTGTCAGGAGCGAACCAAACCAGTTGTGTTGCATTAAAAAAACAGACAAACAAACAAAACAAAATTTGCAGATTTGGTATTCTATTAAATGTCCTTTGACCAACTTCTTCCTGAAAGACAGGAGGGAGGGAGCTGACCTGATTTCATTGGGGAAGGAGTTTCATAGACAAAGGGCCACCACTGAGAAGGCCCCACCAGTCACACTTGTGAAGGTGGTGGGATCAAGAGCAGGGCCTACCCAGATGATCTTAACTTCTGAGGTGGGTCATAGAGGGAGATACGTTCGGCCAAGTAAGCTGGGCCAGAACTATTTAGGGCTTTATAGGCTAAAACCAGCACTTTGAAATACAGAAAATACCGGAAGGGTTTGATGGGCATTGACCTTGAGTTTTGTAGTTGTAGTTCACCCACATCCAGAGAACACTGTGGACACAAACAATGATGGATCTGGACCAAACTTGGCACAAATATCAATATGCCCAAAATGTGAACACTTTTGGAGTTTGTGGAAAATAGACCTTGACATTTGAGAGTTGTAGTTGCTGGGATTTATAGTTAATCTACAATCAAAGAGGATTCTGAATCCCACCAATGATAGAATTGGGCCAAACTTCTCACATAGAATCCCCATAGCCAACAGAAAATATTGTGTTTTCTGATGGTCTTTGGTGATTCCTTCGACTCCGCCCCCCCTCGCAACCCTCCCATAAGGATTGTGACCCTCAAGTTGAGAAACATCACTCCAGATTTTTGATGGCATCTTGATGGTCAGCTTCAAGCAGAAGTTGACTATAGAGTCACTTTTGATGTTATGTACGTTCCGTCTCAGGACTTTCCTTAAGGTTTTGTCATGTTCCAAAGAAGATCATAATATTACAGTTCATTTTCCATCCTATATTTCAAATCAACTGCTTGATTACATAAGCAATACTCTCACTCCTTTTTTCCAAAGTGCCTAGTAGGCGTGATCAATATCTTTGAATTGAGCATATTAGGGGGGGGGGGGGAACTACTTAGTGCTATACTGTAAATAGGGGAAGATATAGTTAGGAATACATTGCGCAGTTTGACGGGTTTAATTTTGCTGACGATGGCCTACTTCACAGCCCAGAATTCATTGCCTAGAATCCTCATCATTCAAATATATAAGATATAAATATAGGCTGTGCTCTAGTGCTTTGTGTATTAAAAGAACTGGATGGATTCAACGAATACAGAAAATTTTGCTTTCACTTCTTGAGCATTTGCCAGTATGAAAAATGGAGGAATCATTTTGATTGTAATACTTTTTGGTGCTTTTTCTTTTGGCTTCAGATGTCAGATTTCCTGGTAAGTGTGCATTTTGCAAGGATAAGCTGTTTGTAATTAAGACTATGGCATATTGTAGCACTTGGAACTATGAGCCACAAGTTACATTAGTTACCTGAAGTCAGATTTTCTTTTCTCTGCAAGAGTGAAGGCAGAGCAAAATCAGTAAAAAAGTACAGTACTGTAATGAGTGGGAGTAAAGTTACTCAATTTTAGGTATTTTCAGAGGTATAAATTCAAGAATTGTAAGTTTTACATCATTCTCCTATTCATCCTAAGGTGCTTTAAAAAACGATAAAAAGTATCAAACAGCTGAAACCATGAGCTGACTTTAAACAGTTTAATGAGTAGCAACAGTATAATTTTTCAAACAATATATGAGTAATTCACTAAATTATTGTGTTTTGCATGATTTTTTTCTTACTTTAGAACTCTATTGGAATTTTCTTTCAGCACCAGTTTGAAAAGTGAATATGATAATGATGCAGAAATGATTACTACTGTTGCATTGCTATTTAGGAAGTTTTTCTGCTTTTTAAAAACTATTTCTCAAATATAGTTTTTGTTTTTGTAGCTCATCTCGGGGCTGATGGGGTCACTGATGATTTAGAAGGGATTGTGGTTCAAAGTGATGGAAGATTCAGGCCAGGGAAATGAAACTGGCTTAGACAGTGCAGAGCTCCAAGGTTAGTCAGAGGAGCCAGAAAACACATCATTAGATAAGGAGTCAAGTGAAGACCTAAGTGAAACAGAAAACACTCAAGGGAAAGCACCTGGCATTACGGAGATCAGTAAAAGATTTTGTTTACAGATTAGAGCAGAACATAGGCTTTGTAGGTCAAAGAGATTACATGGGAAAGAGATAGAGAAAATTCATGTGAAATGACATGATTTCATGAGTGCTTATTAAGAGCCAGTTGTTTACCGTAAAGTTAATTTTGGCAATGTTGGCTTTCGAGTGAGAAGCTAGGCCTGAGTTCCCTATTTCTTGTGTCAAATCAAGTCTTGGTTTTGGATTCAAGTATCCTGGAAGTTTTCTATATTCTTGTTTTATGATTCCTGCTCAAGTTTTATTAAGTATACCTTATGGACTTATCCTGTACTTGTGATTTTTGACTATTTCTAGACTGTGTTATTTTTGGATTTTTATGAGACATTTGGATTCCTGTGTGGCTATCATCTATTGCTAACCCTGTTTTGGATTATTCCTCTTCTTTCCTTGTTCCTGCTTTTTCCTGGATTTTATGTTTTGTTTTTTACAATAAACTGTTTGCCTATACTCTGGATTCTGGTGTGGTGCTGTGTCATAGGGGTCTCCAGGCTTGGGGTACAACACTGTTGCTCTTATTTCATACAGTCCGTAGAGCAGCTGCTATTGTCTGTAAAACCACCCATGGTATGAAATTCTTTAATTTGCTTCATGCCTTTTCCTTAGTGCCTTATGCACTGAATTGTTGCTATGATTTTCCATAGCTATCCTTTGCAATCACATAAACGTGACTAAGCGTTTATAACTATTGCTTTGCAAAACCATTTAATTGCCACATTTTCCGCTAATTTATGTTCTTTTGAGAAACTCAACATTAGTTGTTGAGTTTGAATAAACCTGAGCAAAATGGCTCGGAGTTCTGAACCGAATGTCCAGCTGTGCTTGAGGTGTTTAATGCAGGATGGTTTCCCTGTGCTTTCCCAATTATGTCACTTGGCTGGCCCAAACCTGCTTTGGGAGCATTTCAAGGGACGTGGAGAATTAATTTATTTCATGTTTCCATTGATACACTGTTAAGGCTTGTACAATAATAATTGATTCTGTACAACCAAATGGCAAGAGGCAAAAGGCCTCCTGAAAGTAAACTAATTTGATATTCATTATCGGTATTTCAATGAACTCCTTAAAACTAGGAAGCAACTAATTAGTGCCCTTTGCTAAAATCTCTCTTACATTTTAAATTACCGGCATAGCAGGGAGACACATTGCTTTTGACAGTGTTTCTGCACTTGCCGTTTGTTTCAACCATTCTAGAAAGTAGTCAGAAGACTGAAATCAGTCCTAGTTTTGTGGGGGACATTTTGCTGGTAAATAGATTACAAAAAGGTATTAAGTGGATGAAACAAACCCTCTGCTTTCCTCCAAAATACGAGAGGAACATTAGAATAGAGAGATGTTCTGTTTATGTGTAGTCTTCTTGGAAATTTGGAAATAGGGGGCATTGCACAGACATAAACCCTTTTATTGATGGGGAAAGCATTGAGTTGAAGACATTTTTTCTCCATTTCAGATTGAGGTGTAAAATAAGATCCTTATGAAACCCACTTCTGCTGTCTTTCTTTCCATTTTTTAGTGTTATTGATACCTGAAATGGTAGCTACAGTATGTCCCGGCTTGGTGTGACAGCCGAGGAATTGGATTTTTGAATTGGCATTCTTTGGTATCCAGTCCTTATGCATCTAGCTTAGTTGTTTTTGCATAAGCTGTGCAACGTTGAACTGGGACAAGTATAGAATATAGTAAATGCAGATCTAGAATGCAGTGATAGAGTCTTGACAGTTAAGTATCTGTCTATTCAAGCAAGAAGTAACCCATACAATTGCAGCCTCACAGTATTGCTCCTGTTTGTAGATTACATGGGCTGTTGTGGCTCAGCAAGTGACTAGGGATTTTTCTGATACTTCTTCAGAGGACGAGGGAATTGATGGGTTTCAAAGTGCAGAGTCTGTCAGTGACTCGAGAGAATTGCAGGCTGAAGAGACCCCAGTTTGGGATTCCAGTGCTTTTCCCTAAGCAACAGACAGTTAAGATTGCAGTTCTCTCGGGAAACAGCCTTCAGATGATAGGGAGATTTCCCGCAGAGCCAGATTAGGTCTCCGGACAGAGAGAATGAAAGATAGATTAATTAGGCATTCTGCGAGACCCTGTGAGAAGGCCTTGAAGCCCAGGTGTGTCCAAAATGACCTCATGGCTTTCTGGTTGGGTTTGGGCTTCAATTAAGTGATGCTTACTTGGTATCTTTAGTGGAGACAACATTGCTAAAAGATAGTGATCCTATCTTTGGTCTCAAATTCCTGTGTTTGCCTATGTTCAAGTTCATGTTTCTTGTGTTTGCCTATGTTCCTGGAAGGGTTTTCTTTGTGAAAAGTTCCTGCTTCCACGTTTATGGATTAATGCCTGATTTTTTGGCTCTCTTAATTTCATGTATTTCCCTGTCATTTTTTGATTGCTACTGTATTGTATATGGACTGCATCTATTTTGTATTTCCTTCTCTGTTGCCTTTTTGGGAAATGCATTTCCCCCCTTTATATATGCTTTTCTCAGTAAACTGCTGTAGTTAGTACTACTAGACTCTGGTGTGGTGTTGGGTGAAAAGGTGTCTCAAAAGGTGGCTAGAGTGCAATAGGGGCTAAGATGAAATGTGTCTGGAAACAGTGGGAGTTATTTCAGATTTCGGTTTGTGTGATGGTCACACATTATATGTTTGTGATCAGTCCTGACTTTTCAGAAAACGCATAAGTAGGTGCCACCTGTTTAAGCACAGGATTCATGGGGTTTCTTGGCTTAAATTGCTTGGAGCAGCATGTATCGGAGAACTTTTGCGGTCAGTGGTTGAACAAAGCAAATGTATTTCAATAAACCAATATAAATAAGCAGCTTCTGTCAATACCCCTTTTCTCCCACAAGGTCTTGTAATGAAAGGACCTAAAAATGAAAGATGACGCTTGAAGTTAAAAGGATGCAATTTTCTTCGTAAGTGGGGAAAGCAGCAAGAAACCATCAAATTAGATACATCAAAGACTTGAGAGTGCAGGGCTAATTTCCATTATACCTCCTTGATGTTGAATGAGTGCCATCTCAATTTGAACCAAAACAAGTGCCTTTAATATTGAAGTGTGACTTGACTTTGGTTCCCAGTTCAGTTACATGAAATAGTCAAGGTAGCAATAATAACAACAATGATAGATAGTAGTATGGAAGACAAAGACATTCTGTCTGCTGGCTAAAGTCATAATGCATACTTTGATTTTGGTTTGTGAACAGACCATGACCTGTGCATATCCTTTGAGTTTGAATGGAATTGCAAACTTGCTAAGAACTAAGTTAGGAATTTGTGAAACACAACAAGAGGGATAAAGTAGCATGTTAACTTGAGAAGTCACTGAAACACACAATCCTACATTGCAGTTTTGCATTAGATCTGTCTTGTTCTATATGCTTGCTGCATTATGTATGATTTATGTACATATTATAGTCTAAAACAGGGATCTTCAAACTTTTTAAAGAGAGCCAGGTCACAGTCCCTCAAACTGTTGGAGGGCCAGATTATAATTTGGAAAAAAAAGAATGAATTTCTATGCACACTTCACATATCTTATTTGTAGTGAAAAAAAAACCACTTTAAAACAATACAACAATTGAAATGAAGAACAATTTTAACAAATATGAACTTATTAGTATTTCAGTGGGAAGTGTGGGCCAACTTTTGGCTGATGAGATAGGATTATTGTTGTTGTTGTTGTATGCTTTCAAGTCGTTTCAGACTTAGGTTGACCCTGAGCAAGGGCCGGGTAAATGACCTTGGAGGGCCACATTCGGCCCTCGGGCCTTAGTTTGAGGACCCGTGGTCTAAAACATCTTACATTGAGAAAAGGTGCATGAAATGTCAGTGCTGTATTAGAGAGGCTTCAGTATTAATGTATACATTATATATGAATATATTATTCATCTATATAACTATCCAATATTGATTTGTAACTGGTGCCAGGATTTTCCTGAGTTAAGCCTGGCATATCAAAGACATGGCGGAGGACAGATGAGCTAAAAACAGAAGTATTTTTTTTTTCATGAACAGAGTTTCCTATAAAATAATACAATAAAAATTTTATTACTATTTTACACAATTTCTAAAGGTCAGTTCCACCCAAAAGAAAATTGTAGTTAATATATTTTACTTAGAATATTTTTCTTAAGCTGATCAGGGGAAATAATATTGTGTAAAGGTCAAGAGGTATGTTTGCCTTTTCTGAGTTGCTGCATGACATTACAACAGAATATGGCCTGGAGAACATTTGTGGCCCACAGCAAGGCCTATGTGCACTCTAATGCTGTATTAATTTGGTGCTCCTTTTAGAACTCAGCTTTTGCCTTCCACCAGTATGTTTAGAGAATGGGATGGTACCTTTTTGATAAGAGTTATGGTACATGGATAAATCAGCCAAGTTTCTGGGGTCTTTTTTTAACCTATACTTCCAGAATTATGCATGAATATGTAGCGTTATTATAGCTTGCAGTCTGAATGCGTCATAATAGTACTCCTACCCCTGTCATCCAGTATGAAGCAGGTTGAGATTCAGGAAAGAGGAGCACTATCTTTTTCATAATTATTTGGGTTTCCTTATCTCACGCGTAGGCATTACTTTTTAAACTTAATTACATTTGGCCCAGCCATAGTTTTAAGTGCGTTTTGTGCTATTGTTCAATGTTTATGCTATTTGTGTATGAGATTTATTTTAATTGCTTTGTATTAGTAGTTGTATTTTGCTTCGTATTGTGGTTGTTATTGCTTGTATTGATGTATTGTGGGCTCGGCCTCATGTAAGCCGCACCGAGTCCCTTGGGAGATGGTAGCGGGGTATAAATAATGTTTATTATTATTATTATTATTATTATTATTATTATTATTGGCAAACTTTTTTGCCTTGGGGTCACATTGTGGCCCTGGGAGGGGGTGGGGTTAGGAGGGGGTGGGGCTGGACCTGGGCCATCCACAGGTTCTTCTCCTGGGCTTACCCCATCTTATGCCGGGAGGAAAACGAGACATGTGGCAACTGCCCTGATCCTCCTCTCTGATCCTCCTTTCCCAATCTTCAGGCTGTCCTCTCGGCGTTATGCCGGAAGGAGAGTGAGACATGCGGTGGCTGAGAGTACTCCAGAGGGCTCTCAGCTACTGCGTGCCTTCCTCCTCTGTCCTTTCTGCAAAAGGATGCTACAGGCTGCTATATTCTTATGCTGAGAGGAAAGGGAAAATGAGGAGAGCCTGAAGTAAGCATCCAACTCCCGGGGCGTTAGTTTGCCCACGCTTGCTTTAGCTGGAATTCTGACTGCCTTTATGAAAGAGACTTCAGCATTTGAACATTAGATCCAAACATACTGTATTTGGGTTTTTTTAAGTGCCACTGTCTTATTTATTTTATTAATAAAGTATTTATATCTCAACCCTTGTTTTGAGATCTCAAGGTGGCATGCAAATACAGTAATATTGATAATATACCCAAAGTGCAAAAGTCCAGACTTTTTGAGTCATGCTTTGATTAAGTACTTGATCATGTTAAACTCTGTTTCTGGTTCACCCAATTCCATGTCTTTTCATTTGTGGTGCCCAAGATTGGGAATAACCCCAGAAGGAAAATACTGGTTGCATTTGTTGTTCAACTTTATATGGGTGGTGAAGGCTCTTTTTCTATATTGAATCTATTGCAGGTCTATTATTCACAAGTTGTTTTACTATGTTATTGCTTTTTTGCTTTTCTGGCCTTATTAAATATTGTTCTTAATGACATTTTAAAAAAAAGTAATTATAGGGAGTGTCAGGCTCCTTCTACACAACCATACAAAATCCAAATTATCTGCTTTGTACTGGATTATATGGTAGTGTAGACTCATATTTATTTATTTATTTATTTATTTATTTATTTATCTATTTACAGCATTTATATGCCACCCTTCTCACCCCGAAGGGGACTCAGATTGGCTTACAAGATATATTTTCATATAATATATTATATTATTAGCATAGTACAATATCAGTATTATATATTACTATATTGCACTATATCATTGTATTGTAATTACTAGTAATAATACATTTAATGTAAATATATAATTATAATATTGTATTATTATTACTAGTATTATATTGCATTACATTATAATATAATATTATATTATTAATGTGGATGAGCCCTCGGTGGCGCAGTGGGTTAAACCCCTGTGCCGGCAGGACTGAAGACCAATAGGTTGCAGCTTCGAATCCGGGGAGAGGCGGATGAGCTCCCTCTATCAGCTCCAGCTCCTAATGCGGGGACATGAGAGAAGCCTCCCACAAGGATGATCAAAACATCAAATCATCTGGCCGTCCCCTGGGCAACGTCCTTGCAGACGGCCAATTCTCTCACACCAGGAGCGACTTGCAGTGTCTCAAGTTGCTCCTGACACGACAATAAATAAATAAATTAATGTGGATTGTTTGCTTTGATGATCTGGATTATATGGCAGTGTAGAAGGAGCCTCAGAAGTTTGCTAGAGAAATGGGTTATGAAAGATGACTATAACACTCTTTATTATGGCTGCAATCCTAATTTGGTTTTATTGGTATTATAATCAGGATTTCATAACTTCCCCCTTTAGGCTCTGTATATGAACCTCTCAAAAGCATCAATCTACCAAGGGATGGAGAAAGTCTGTGGGATAGACTAGATCATTACTACCGAATAGGTAAGTCTGAAAAAGGGCAAATTGTAGTGTGTATGCATGTGTCATTTTTCTGATTGCAACTTAATAAATTAGAAAATAAATAGAAAAATTTGGGTCTCATCTAAACTACATCGATGGGCTGAAAATCCAAAGTACTGCTTGCAAAGGGATGGGCAAAGTTTGGCCATGGGGCAGCATGCAGGTTGTCCCACAAAAAGCATTTATATATTTTTGCAATTTAATAAACCTTTTCCATGTTTGTATGATAGAACCAATTAGGAAATGACATTTATAAGCCAGGAACAAAAATCATGTTACATAGTGTAATTCAGTGCTCAAAACATTACACTGCATTGGTTTTCTTTGCATAGGTAGTCACAAGCTAATTTACATACAACCAAATGTAAATTTCATATCATGCACATGACTTCTCTTGAGAAGCACGTTAATATTTAATTTTTTTGTATTCCTTTCCCCACTTTACTATTGGTAATGTTGATTTTTTTCTTTAAAAAGGAAAAGTGACATGAATTAATGCATGATCTGACAAAGTAATATAATTAGCATAAGGAAACATCTAGATTTTAGATGTTGTTGCCACGGTGTTTCCACAGATTCAATCTGAAGCAACATGGAGACTGAATTATTTTCAGATGAGCCTGAACACCACTGATGTTCACAGAGATGTAGCTATTTTATTACATTATCTTTGAAAACAAACAAGCAACCAACCGTGAACCATATGGCCTACTTAAAATGTGCTGTGTCTTCAAGCACTAAGTGCCTGCCCATTTGTCTGAATCCAGCCAGGTAATGGCTCTGTGATTCACCATGAGAGCCATGAGCTTAATTATTCAGCACTAAAAAGCCACAATGACAGCACAGCCTAAAACAGTCACGGGGAAAAAACACTATCGCTGCATGCAAAACATACTTTTTTCAAAGAGGTGTTCTGACAAACTTTTGAGGTTTCCCTGTTTTGGATTCGGTCAAGCATGGGCAAACTTTGGCCCTCCCTCCAGGTGTTTTGGACTTCAGTTCCCACAATTCTTACCATCTGGTAGACTGTTAGGAATTGTGGGAGTTGTAGTCCAAAATACCTGAAGGAGGGCTGACGTTTGCCCATGCCCGGATTAGGTGAACATTCAGTTTAATGTATTCTCGAAGGCTTTCATGGCTGGAATCACTAGGTTCTTGTGGGTTTTTTCGGGCTATAGAGCCATGTTCTAGAGGCATTTCTCCTGATGTTTCGCCTGCATCTATGGCAAGCATCCTCAGAGGTAGTGACCTCACTACCTCTGAGGATACTTGCCATAGATGCAGGCGAAACGTCAGGAGAAACGCCTCTAGAACATGGCTCTATAGCCCGAAAAAACCCACAAGAACCTATTCAGTTTAATTCTAAAAATGGCAGTGGCCAACAATATTTGTTTTGATATCCATCATCCTTCTTCTCTTATTTATTTATTTATTTATTTACTACATTTATATGCCACCCTTCTCACCCCGAAGGTGACTCAGAGTGGCTTACAAGATATATATTCATACAATATACTATATTATTAGCATAGTACAATATCAGTATTAAATATTACTATATTGTATTATACAGGGTGAGGCAGCATAACTTCATTTTTCAAAGCTTAATAAAACCCATTGTATGAATCAGATTTTTTTTTATAATGTAGGCGCATACCTAAAGTTTTGTTTTACATAGTTTTGAAGATCAAATTAGGTAGGTGACGTCCCCCATTCTCCATACACTGAGTAAACCGATTTCTGGCGTTTGTCATGACTCTTGACAGCATAGCAGGCGTTATGTTGGCAATTTCTTCCTGGATGTTGGTCTTCAAATCTTGTCAGGTCCTTGGACGGTTCACATAAACACGGGATTTCAAAAAAACCCGTAGAAAAAAATCACAAGGGGTCAGATCTGGAGAGCGGGCCGGCAATTCCAAATCCTCTCGAAAAGTAGGCATCAACGGCAAAAGCATGCTCCTCACTGTTCCAACGCATGATGGCGACTGAACTGTGTCAGGAGAAAACTTCACACTCTCGCCTCTCAAACGAGACCACCAGCGCTCCGCTACATCTTCAACCGACTGAATGGTGCGCATTTAAAAAAAGGAAGTTATGCTGCCTCACCCTGTACCATTATATTGTAATATTATTAGTAATATTACATGTAATATATTATTATAATATATTATTAGTATTATTATTATATTGCATTACATTATAATATTATAAATATTATATGTATATACAATATATTATATTATATTATTAACATCGCACAGGAGACAAGGTGGAACTTCTTCTCTTCTTAATTAATATTTCAGTTACACAATTAAACTAATAATGTACTCCAGGCTGAGTGCATTTACTGAGATTATGTTGTCAAGAAGCCCATCAATATACACTGCAACATTTGGTGCTGGTCCAAAACATTGCTGGGTTGAACCAGCCCTAGATTCTGCCAAACCACATCAGCAGCGGATGCGACATGGGCAGTGGAATGGAACCTTCTCAAACTCAAAAGCTAGAGATTGGACAGAAATTCTGAATTGCCACTATCTGCAGCTGGCCATCAGAACTATGGCAGTCCTTTACCTCTTAATCCTGTTCCAAAGAACTGTTTGAGTGAAATACCACTGACGGTTTCAGAAGTCCTTGAGATATCCAGGAAGGCTGTCTTTCTTTGAGACCAATCAATTTTCAGGGCGACCAAGGCTGTTTTGGATCAAAATCCTGAATTGAAACACCTTCAGATAATGTTACTAGTGATACTGAAATGGAAATTGGAATGCAGTGGTACCGTGGACATATCAAATACAAATATACAAATACATAAATAAATATCAGCAAGGAAGATGTGTAGTGAGGAATAGATGAGTTTGGCCACAGTCACGTCGTGATAGAGACCAGAATTTGAATTTCTGCAATTTCTGCAGTGGAATGCCACTTGGGCAAATTGTGCTTTACTCAGCTTCTGGGAATAGCAAAGGTGTTTTGTTTTAAATGTTTTACTTTCTGTTGAAAAAAAGAAGCATGATTTTAAAGTTGGTTGTAATTAATATTAACTTTTTTTCTTCTCTTGGCAGTTAAATCGACAGTATTGCTTTTCCAAAGCCCAACCACTGGTCTTTTCCCCACAAAAACCTTTGGTGAAAACCAGAAGGCCAAAGTGCATGACAGCCTTTACTGTGCTGCTGCTGCCTGGGCGCTGGCACTTGCCTACAGGTAAATAGATTGCCTCTTGTTTGTCTGACCAATTGCACTAAGCACACTTAGGTTGAAAAAATGTAGAGTAACCAGCCTACTAGGGAGACAATGTGAAGTGGAGCTTGCTTTCCTTCCTCCTTTTAGAGAATTCCTCCCAGTCAAATAACCAGGCAAATAATTAATTCAAATTACATTAAAAACTAGCCATCCCCTGCCACGCGTTGCTGTGGCCCAGTCTGTGTATATGTGTATATGTGTGTGAATATATTTGTGTATATGTGTATATATGTGTGTTTGCATATATATATTTGGTTTTGTGCATGGATTGTAATGTATTTTTATTTTTTGGCTTTTAAGTCCCTTCTGTTGTGTTTTTCAGTGTTTCTTTGCGTGATGGTCATCCGTTGGCCTGATAGGTGGATTGTGTCCAAATTTGGTGTTAGTTTGTCCAACTGTTTTTGAGGTTATGTTAATCCCACAAATGAACATTACATTTTTATTTATATAAATTTCATGTTAACAACTCTACATTTGTAGAGTTTTCATGTTAACTACTCTACTAGTACATTTGTAAGCTACTCTGAGTGCAGGTTCTAGAACCAAGGCAGCTACATGCCCCGTTTATAATGGCAAGTTGCTGCAAGTTGCTGCCATCCTCCATTTGCCTCTTCCCATTGAGAATGTACACGTTGGTGTCTCATCGTACTTAATTTCCAAGTTGTGGACTATAAATGTGGATAGCTCTACATGTGGGGTCCTCTTCTGTATGAAAGGAGATCATCTACCATTTCAACAGGCCAGCAATTATTTCTTTATGTACTATATTAATAAAGTTCTTGGTGGTCTGGGGATACCAAGTCACCTTTTCTGTCTCCTGAGGAATCTGTATAACGACAAAGTAGCAACAGTAAGAACAGACCACAGAACAACAGACTGGTTCAGTATTGGGAAGGAGTATGGCTGGGTTGTATACTCTCACCCAACCTATTCAACTTGTATGCAGAATACATCATGTGACATGCAGGGCTTGATGAATCCAAGATTGGAATTAATAATAATTTATTTATTTATTTATTTACAGTATTTATATACCACCTTTCTCACCCCTGGGGTGACAATAATAATAATAATGATAATGATAATAATAATAATAATAATAATAATAATAATAATTAATAATTTTATTTATATTCCGCTCTATCTCACCGAGGGGACTCAGGACGGATTACAGAACACATATATGGCAAACATTCAATGCCGTTATACAAGTCTCTCTCTTCCCTCAAATGTTATCAGTTCTCACATTTGCCCCCTAAAACACACCCCAAAAAGACTTTGGCCTCTCTTTTTCTTCTTCAAGCTTTGTCATTTCCCATATGTATCCTGGACAAAAAAAAGACCCCAAAAACCCATCCAAAAATACCTCCAAATTCTTTCTCATTCTTCCTTCTGAAGCTTTATCAATTCCCATATGTATCCTGGACAAAGAAGACCCCCCCCCCCGAAACCCACCGCAAAGGAACTCTCTGTCTCTCTCTTCCCCCAAATGTTATCAGTTCTCACATCCCCCCCCCCCCCAGTTAAAATTGCTGGAAGAAACATTAACAACCTTAGATATGAAGATGATACCACTTTGATGGCTGAAAGCAAGGAGGAGCCTAGGAGCCTTATGACCAAGATGAAAGAAGAAAGTGCAAAAGCTGGGTTGTAGTGACACATCAAAAAAACCAAGATTATGGCAACCAGTCTGATTGATAACTGGCAAACAGAGGAAGAAAACATGGAGGCAGTGACAGACTTTGTATTTCTAGGTGCAAAGGTTACTGCAGACACACTGCAGCCAGGAAATCAGAAGACGTTTCCTTCTTGGGAAGAGAGCAATGACCAATCTTAATAATATAGTGAAGAGCAGAGACATCACACTGGCAATGAAGATCTGCATAGTCAAAGCAATGATATTATTTATTTATTTATTTATTTATTTATTTATTTATTTGGGGTGCTTCTACCCCGCCCTTCTCAACCCCCTAGGGAGGACTCAGGGCGGCTTACAAAATGCACAATTCGATGCCCAACAATTCACAAAATACAATATACAATTTACAATATAACGTCAAGAATTATAACTAGTTAAAACAATCAAAACAATACAATAGCAGCAATAAAACCATCTTGTGGTCAATGTTTGCCAATTCATAAATCCATAATCCATCTAGCATCGTCATTGTACTTTCCTACTCTGGTCATCATTGTCTTTTGTCCATCTGCCAGTTTACCCGAAGGCCTGGTCCCACATCCAGGTTTTTAACTTCCTTCTGAAAGAGAGGAGGGATGTTGATGACCTAATTTCCCCGGGGAGTGCATTCCACAGGTGAGGGGCCACCACCGAGAAGGCCCTGTCCCTTGTCCCCACCAGTCTCACTTGTGATAAAGGTGGGGCCGAGAGCAGGGCCTCCCCAGAAGATCTTAAACTCTGAGGTGGGATGTAGAAGGAGATACGTTCGGACAGGTACGCTGGGCCATATGGATGTGAGAGCTGGACCATAAGGAAGGCTGTGTGAAGGTAGATAAATGCTTTTGAACTGTGGTGTTAGAGGAAAATTTTGAGAGTGCCTTGGACTGCAAGAAGATCCAACCAGTTCATCCTCCAGGAAATAAAGCCTGAATGTTCATTGGAGGGAAGGATATTAGAGGCAAAAATGACGTCCTTTGGCCACATAATGAAGACTTAGGAAAGCTTGGAGAAGATAATAATGATGGGGAAAATGGAAGGAAAAAGGAAGAGGGGCCGATCAAGAGCAAGATTGATGTATGGTATCTTTGAAGTGACTGACTTGACTCAGAAGGAGCTGGGGGTGGCTACAGCCGACAGGGAGCTCTGGCGTGGGCTGGTCCATGAGGTCACGAAGAGTCGTAAGCGACTGAATGAATAAACAACAAAATTACATACTTATGCTGTTTTATATCATAGCCCTTTGGGGAGGCACGTATTACACATGCTGCATCCAAATGAGAACAATATTTCATCTTAACCTCCTTAAATGTTAAGGTTCAGTGTGCCATTCACATAAGTCAGTGGGGTAAGATGCCCGCCTTCATTCAAGGACCAATTCCTTCCCCAGTTGAATAGCATACAGCTAAATATTGAGTAGAAGCAACCAGAATCAGAGAGAGAGAGAGATACTCCTCATTCAAGGGTATCACAAAAGTAAAGGTCTGGTTGTAATTGAATTCTAAAATAATACAACCCATAAAAGATCGTTTTATGTCACAGGTGGAGGATTTTCTTCCTCGAATCATCTGTCATATAGAATAAATGGTTTTGGGATAGCTTTTATTACAGGTGGAAGTTTATTGCCCCAAGAGTTATTACAAAGAGGGACAATGAACTTTAAACCTACAAAACAAAATTAACTCTGCGGCTTGCTATCTTCTGAACTCATCATTTCTCTTCCATTGGAAACTTCATTTCGACAGCCTAGAAAAGTTAGTTTAAGGCTCATTTGCAAGAACCTTCAGTTCCTCCAGGCCCTACTACACTGCACATCACAGGCCAAATAAAGCATATCTTTGAATTACTTAATCAGCAGAACCTCGTGCCAGTCATGGACAATTGATTCCATTTCCCCCTTAATTATAATAGCTGTTCCAGCAAATAGAGTGCTAAGAATGTGGGGAAAGAGCAGAAAGCTAGGAAAGCAGGCAGTTCTATCCTAGATGACCTTGTTTCCTTTGAGGGCCATTCATTAAAGAGTTCCCCTGACCCACTTCTATTTATCACAGGATACTGAAACTGTACATGTGTAATGATATAAGCCTCTATAGGTTTTGTGCCAATTTACAGCTTAGAACTGACAACGGTCTTGATTTGACAGGTGCTGAAGTGGTGTGAGGTTTGAGAATGGATCCAGTGGAACACAGAGCTGTCATCAAGTTCCTTTACTTGAAAGGCTTCACACCAAAGGAGACATTCGATGAGATGAGATAAATGTGGTCGGGCTTTGGTGGAAACAGCTCACAATTCCAGGGCGACCCCACTCTGCTATTGATAAACACGCCATCCAGCAAGTGGAGGCCGCCATTTTGGAAAATCCCCGCATAACTATTTGCCACCTAGTCCAAAATGTCAAGATTAGTGTGGGGTCCATGGAAAAAATAATCCAAGACCATCTTCACATACAGAAGGTATCCGCTCGCTGGGTGCCCTAGCTCCTCACAACTTTCCAGAAGCAGGAACCAGTCAAATGCTCTCAGACTCTATTGATGATGTGCCATGGAAATCAGGAGGACTTTTTCAACAGACTGATCACACAGGATGAAAGCTGAGTCCATCACTATGATCCTGAGACTAAAGTCCAGTCAATGCAATGGAAGCATCATCATTCACTCCCTCCAAAGAAGGCACTTGCCCAACTTTCAGCAGGCATGTCATGCTCACAGTATTTTGGGACCAGCATGGAGTAGTATTGATGGATTTCCTAGCAAAGGGTACCACTTTTCCAACTTTCAGCAGGCATGGCATACTATGCTTCACTGCTGCAGACATTGCCGGAGGCTATTCAAACTAAGAGATGTGACAATGCACCAGTTTACAACTCACATGTTACCCAAAAGGAAGCATGCTCCTATGTCTCTGAAATTCTATCGCATCCCCCTTATTCACCTGACCCCGCACCATTGGACTTCCATCTCTTTCCAACAATGAAGTTATTTGTGAAGAGCAAGCATTTTTTAGATGATGAGACACTGATTTTTGAAGTCACAATGTGGTTTTTGGAGCAACTTGTCGACTCCTTCAAGCGAGGTGTTTACAGTTGCTTCAAAAGATGGGAGAAGTGTGTGTTATTCCAGAACAGGAATAATCCTCTGATTTTAAAACACCACATGTTGATTAGGAAAACAATCCTTTTTTATTGAAGGTAAGTAAAAGCAGCAAAGTAGAAAAACACTTTAAGGGAATAGATAAATCCAATTAGGTAAGAAGATAAGCAGGAACAAATTAGGCCAAGGTATGGTTC